ACACATACACTCCCCTGGCCACACACTACCCCCTCCACACATACACTTCCCTGGCCACACACTACCCCCTCCACACACACACTCCCTGCTCCAGACACTAACCCCTCCACATACACACACTAACCCCTCCACACATACACTCCCTGCTCCACACACTAACCCCTCCACATACACACACTACCCCCTCCACACATTCTCTCTTCTACACTGTCCCAACTCCTCACACACACCCCTTCCTCCCTTCCCTTCATATGTCTGGGTCCCACTTGCTTGTTTGTTGCGAAACAGCCTGAAGAAGCCAGAAGCAACATTTTGTGGGGCACAACTCCCCATCAAGCATTTCATGTGCTCTGACTGCCTGGTGTAGGTGCCTCATATGGACTTGAGGGTTGTTGTTAACTTTGCCAAATGACTCAGTATCTCTGCAGGCTACACCTTGAAGGTGATTACTTCCACCTGCAATCTATTACAGTCTGTACCTTCCAAGGGCATAAAATCCTGGGGTGGAACTCAAACTCGGGAGCTTGTGGCTCAGGGTGAGGACCATTAAAATCTGCACAACGAGATCTTCCATCCAGGAATAGAGAAAGGGGGCAAATCACTTACTGATACAATCACACAACATAAAAGTATATTTTGCATGAAAAGCTGGGAATAAGTAGCTGTGCTATATTATCAATCCATTTAATCCCAGAGTTTAACAATCTGATAGTTTTCACTCTAAATACTTGAAAATTAAAGGTCACTGTAACAGTTTTAAACTTACTCTTCTTCAGCTGAGAAATGTGATTCCTAAGTTCACTGAGTGATCTGTTTGTCTTCTCAGATAATCCTGTAACTGAAAGAGGAACAACAATTGAGACCACATGATGGTTTTTCTCCAAGAGATCATCATCACCATCCTGTGGCAGATGCTTACAGTCTAAGTCAGGAAAGAAAAATCTGTAAAAAGTGACTGACTTCCTCTCTGTTCCAATTTTGATTCTTTGAAATGTGATGTACATGATCAGAACACAAAATTTTCATATTTTCACATAAAGAATGATTAATGTTTCCCAAAGTATTGAGGATGGCAGGGCTATCCTAAAAGGGGAGATTGGTTGGACAGAACATGCATTCTCTCGAGTTTAGACTGATGACATGGGATGTGATTGAAATGTGTGTAATTCTAATAGGAATGGATAGACTAGATGTAGAAAGAATATTTTCTCTGGTTGGGGAGTCTAGAACCAGGGAGCACAGTCTCAGGTTACAGGGTAGACCAGTTAGGACTGAGATGTGGAAACATTTCTTCACTCAGAAGCCAGTCAGTCTGTGACATATGCTATCACAGAAAACTGTGGAGATTTACAGTGATTTACAACATCTGCAGTTCTTTCAGTTTTTTTAGGGATTTCATCCAGTTGCGAGAAGCAGTTTACCATTTGTTTAAAATCCCCACAAAGGCGGACCGACCTGTTGGACTTCACAATTGGTACGATCGGTGCTGCCCATTCCTCAAACGGTACTAGTTTGATGATTCCTTTGTTTTCCAGCCTCCTGATTCCTGCTTCTACTTTTGTATGTCAGGCAAATGAGACTGGGCAGGTCTTGCAGAATCGTAGAATTGCTTCCTGGTCAACATGCAACATTTCCGAATTGAAAAATGTTAAGTCAATCAAAGTGAATTTTTCTCAACCAATTTCTCTCCATTGGGCTTGGGCCTGAGGCTTTTACTACAATCAGTGGTAACTGAACCAGCAGCTTCTCATACAAGACTGGAACTGAAGTTGTACCTTAACCTGTTAAGGTTCTCCGGTGTCGGCTCTCAATCTGGCCGAGGTCTTGCAGACATAATGGCTAGAATCCAAACTGAATGTTGTTAAAGACTGGTTCTCCAATCACTGATACAGCTGCACTGGTATCAACGTCCATTACAACCAGGTGACCATTTAACCAGACATTTATTTTGACTGGTTTTTATTCGGATGTTGCTGAGAAATGTAATAGTTCCCAGCCAGATGTTAGTGTGTTTTTCAGGGTGTATGCTCTCCTGGATGCCGGCCTCTTGCTCAATTTAGGCCCACTGGGACTCTTTGGCTGACTTGAGTCTGTATACTGGCAGCAACTGCATTGGTTTGGCAGCCCGAATCCTGAAGAATATGTGAACCGTCTGGCCAAGGCGCTCCTGGGGTTTTCTTGTGGGCTGACCTAGAGCCTCTCAGTTCAGGACATGTCCTAAGTGAGGCTATGCAATTGCCGTCACTCAAGTGGTGTTCCCCCAAGCTTAGTTGGACTGGTGAGAATGTCCACTTCCATCGCTGTACCCTGTAACTCTTCTGCTCCACTTGCTGTGTTTTCTAATGACAAAGCCAGTTGTAGTTTCTGTATGAAATCCAGTTGGACCTCAGCTAGTAGATGCTTTTGCATGGTTACATCATTAATCCCACATACCGAACGGTCTCTCAGCATCTCAGTAAGGGTTAAAACAAAGTCACAATCTTCTGCCAGTCATAGAGTCACAGAGATATATAGCATGGAAACAGACCCTTTGATCCAACTCGTCCATGCCGACCAGATATCCTGAATAAATCTAGTCCAATTTGCCAGCATTTGGCTCATATCCCTGTGAATCCTTCCTATTCATATATCCTTCCAGATGCCTTTTAAATGTGTAATTATACCAGCCTCCACCATGTCTTCTAGCATATTGCTCCATACGTGCACCACCCACTTCCTGAAAAAGTTGCCCCTTAGGTCCCTTTTAAATCTTTCCCCTCTCACATTAAACCTCTACCCTCTAGTTTTGGACTCCCCCCTCCCTGGGGAAAAGACCTTGTCCATTTACCCTATCCATGCCCCGCGTGATTTTATTAACCTCTACGATGTCATCCATCAGCCTCTGACGCTCCAGGGAAAATAGCCCCAGCCTATTTTGCCTCTCTCGAAAGCTCAAACATTCCAACCCTGGCAACATCCTTGTAAATCATTTCTGAACCCTTTCAAGTTTCACATCATCCTTCCTATAGCAGGGAAACCAGAATTGCACACGGTATTCTAATAGTGGCCGAACCAATGTCCTGTACAGCCCACATGACCTCCCAACTCCTATACTCAATGCACTGACTAATAAAGGCAAGCATGCTTGCATCATCTTAAACTTGTCAAAAACCCTGGTATGGTTTCGCTGGTTCTTGAACTGCCGAGCAAAATTTATAGCATCTCAGAATTAGAGTAGTCTTGGGGTCATAATATTCCTTAACCAAATCTTTCAACTTTTGAAAGGTTTTAGTAACTGGTGCCTCAGGCAATGTCAAGCTCCTGATGACCGAAAAAGCTATAAGTCCACAAGCTGTTGGGGAATTCCTCATTGCTTTTCGTCTGCCCTCATGTTATTTGCCTAGAAAAAATAATATATTCTTTCCACATATTGGGCCCACCATCAACAGCAGGATCGAAAAAATCAAGCTTCACAACACATGGCACGATGCCAGAAATGCTTAACCCAACTCATTGACAATTGTTCTCAATGAATGCCTTTAGAATCATTTTATTTTCCTCTTGTCACCCCTGAAATAACTCCACAGGTCAGTAGCCCATCACCAAGTGTCTCTACATGTTCATAGCACTTGACGCTGGTCCAGCTTCCTCAGAGCCAGGTCTCACAGTGAACAGAACCTCTGACCCTCCTGTTTATATCTGTCAGCCAGGGCTCCCTGATAGGCCCAGGTTAACAGCCCCAATCTGGCTGATCTCGTTACATCGATACATTTTTAGACATTAAAGACTTTAAGGGGTATGGAGAAAAAGCAGGGATTGCGGGAGAAAAACAGCCATGATCATATTGAATGACAAAGTTGATTTCAAGGGCCGAATAGCCGATTCCTGTTTCCAGTTTCCATGTGAAAGTGAGGTCCTGCGTGTGAGAATTTATATCATCGACAGATGGAACATCAACCCTCCTGAATCAAAAGGATTTCAGCCCAGTCTCAGGGTGAATGTTGAGAGAATGACCAGAGCCACAGACAAATTAAGGAATTCTCTGAATTGGAGACATGGTGATTGGTCAGATCCACTCACCGTTACTTTGTAATTGGGCATTATTCTTCTTGAAGTCAGTTTCTACTATTTTCATGAGACTGAAGAGCAGTGTTACTGAAAACAAAACAAGATGATGATTGACACATGGTGACACTGTTGTAGGTGTATCTTGCCCTTAAGTACCTCATGCGCTGTGTGTACACAACGTTGTGATTTTGCCTGCTAATGATTCTGCTCTAGGTTTACAAGCTGCGCGTGCACACACACACACGCACACACACACGCACGCACACACACACACACAGACACAGACATACACGCACACACACACGCACACAGACACACGCACGCACACACACACAGATACACACACGCGCACGCACACACACACACACACACACGCACACACACACATGCACACACACACACAATGCAGTTGCTCTGTGGCATTGTTTGCTTATAACCAGATTGACAGCTTTTAATTTACTAACCAACAGAGTTGACCAATTGATGAGGAGCAGAGAACTACATGAAGTCTGAACAGCAGAAGCTGTTCAAAACCAAAAGAACTGCGGATGCTGCAGATCAGAAACAAAAACAAAGTTGCTGGAAAAGCTCAGCAGGTCTGGCAGCATCTGTGGAGGAGAAAACAGAGTTAACGTTTCGGGTCCGGTGACCCTTCCTCAGAACTGATGGTGGCTGGGAAAACGTCAGTTTATGTGCAGAAAATAGGGAGGTGGGTGGGGTAGGGAGTACCCCTCCCCTCCCTTGTCCGCCTTCCGCAGGGACCGTTCCCTCCAGGACACCCTGGTCCACACTTCCTTCACCCCCAACACCTCCCCACAGCCCTACGGCGCCTTCCCCTGTAACCAGCGAAGGTGCAACACCTGCCCATTTACCTCCTCCCTCCCCAGAATCCAAGGGTCCAAACATACCTTCCAGGTGAAGCAACACTTCACCTGCACTTCCCAGAATCTAGTCTACTGCATTCGCTGCTCACAATGTGGTCTCCTCTACATTGGGGAAATGAAGCGTAGACTTGACGACCGCTTTGCAGAACATCTACGTTCTGCTCGCAAAAAAGACTCTGAACTACCTGTTGCCTGCCACTTCTATGCACCACCCTGTTCCCTGGCCAACATCTCTGTCTCCGGCTTGCTACAGTGTTCCAGTGAAGCCCAATGCAAGCTGGAGGAACAACACTTCATTTTCCGCTTGGGGACCCTACAGCTGTCCGGACTCAATATTGAGTTCAATAATTTTAGGGCCTAAACTCTCCCATGTCCCAGCCCCCTACCCCACACACCAGGCCTTGTTACCACATAGCCTGCCACTACACACCCCCTGTTGTTAGTCACTAACAGTCCTCATTAACAACTACTCACCCTCCCGGCCTGATCGTTAGCAACTCCTTTGTCTGTCCAACTGTCTTTCTCTCTCTTTGGGCTCTATCCTATCGTAATACTCCCTACCCCAACTACCTCCCTATTTTCTGCACATAAACTGACGTTTTCCCTGCCACCATCAGTTCTGAGGAAGGGTCACCGGATCAGAAATGTTAACTCTGTTTTCTCCTCCACAGATGCTGCCAGACCTGCTGAGCTTTTCCAGCAACTTTGTTTTTGTTCCTGTGAGCAGAAGCTGTTCGCTGTTGGGAGAACTAAGTGTTCCCATAAAAGAGAAATGTGGTCAAAGTCTGCAGGCCACCCAGGTTCAGTGTTGGATCGTGATGAGGGACAAGCCAATAATACGCCCATCCTAAACACTGGAGCAGCCCAAATACATACAATGTGAATTCAAGATGCAAGACTGAGGATTTCACAACAATCTTTACCCTGATGTACTGACTGGGTCACCTCGCAACAGACCCAGCCTCACACAGGTCCATCTTCACCTAATCCGATTCACTCCATATGATTTTAAGAGACAGCTGAGAGCACACAATGCAGCAAAGGTTACAGGGACCAAAAATATCACAACTGCAGCAATGAAGACCTGTGCGCTAGAATTTGTTTGCTTCAATGAAGTCAAACTGTCACAGGGAAGCTCCAACATTGGTATCTCCTACCTGTGTTCTGTGACTGCTAATGGTGCAGGAGCGGGGCAGTAATGTCACACAGTGGGGTAGTGAGACAGAACGAAGGGGAGGTGATGACACGTAGTGGATCTATGGTTTAAGGCCTGACCTTGCACCACAAGGCAATGTGTAGAAATTTCGAAGGCCCAGGGCTCCTGTCCAGCTGAATCACTGTCCGGGAGGTTTATAATTCACTCTAAGCAACTCAAAAAATCCTAGCCAGGAAATAAAAACATCAAGCACAGTTCTGAAGAAAGGTCACTGGAACCAAAACGTTAACTCTGCTTACTCTCCACACATGCTGTCAGACCTGTTGAGTTTTCCCAGCAATTTGTGTTTTTATTCCTAACCAGGGTACCATGGGTTGGATGTAATTGCTTCATTTATCATACATTTCACTGACTCGATTCAGACTGGAACAAATTACACACCAACGTATCTGTGCTGATTGACAGTTAGATTTTAGCTCCTGACACAAACCAAACCCATAATACCCAATGCTTACTCCAGTGACTGTCACACAAACAGGACCATCCTCCTCTATATCATCGACAGGTGGAGCACCAACCCTCCCGAATCAAAAGGATTCAGCCCAGTCTCAGAGCGAATGTTGAGAAAAAGACCAGAACCTCTGACAAACTGGGGAACTCTCTGAATTGGAGACATGGTGATCGGTCAGACCCACTCACCGTTACTTTGTAATTGGGCAAGATCCATCTTGAAGTCAGTTTCTGCCATTTTCATGTGACTGAACAGCTGTGTAACTGAAAAGGAAACAAGACGATGATTCATACATTAGCATAAAGTTTTAAATGTCTCTCATATCCCACAGGGAGAAAATCACATGGTAAGATTGTTGTATGCTTATCTTGCCTTCAAGGACAGGATGTTCAAGAATAAGAGGAAATGAAAAGATAAAGCTTAAATAAAACCTATCTGCGTTGAAGTTCTGATCTGACTCAGAATTACCACCACTTCGCCAGACCCCGACTCAAGTAGAAGTCTCTGATCCTTAGGAGCGATTTTTCACTGCTGCACCAAGCACCTTTTTCACTGCCCAATCCGACCAATACCAATGTCAGACTGTCGGGTGGTCCCTCCCACCACTGCTTCCCCACTGACAGTGTTGGACCCAGCCAATGATGAAATCTT